CGCCCACGCAATTTCCCTAACAGATCTATATGTATCTAATATGGTTAGAATCAGCTTATCAAATTATGCATTTTAAACTATAAATTTATTAAAAATGAACTTGGGATGATATCAAAATCAATTTTAAATTCTAATTCAAATGCTCATGTGATTTGAAATCTAAACCTTACATAAAAATATACTTTAACATATAAACCTTGTTGGCACAAGTATGGGAGTTTGTGGGCCCCCAAAACTCCTCGAAAGTTCAAAACATAATGAAATTACAATAAATAAATAAATAAAAACCATTCCATTAACTATAATTTTTCTTGAGCTAAGCAGTGCTATCATTAATCTTATTGATACATAACTAGGAGTTCAAAAATAAATAGTTTAAGTTATCACTTGTCACACAAATATATTTATAATTAAACAAAATTAGAAAAAAAATTTTGAACTGTGATGATCAAAATAAATTAAAAATTATTAAATTTATTCAAAAATCAGTGCAATCTAAAAAATTAATTACTTTCTAATTCATTATGCTCATCTCAAAATAAATTAATTTTTTTTAAATACATCTTTTATGCTTAATTTTAATCTAAGACAATATAACATTCTCCACAAAATTACTTGCATATGATAGTCCTACTCAAGGAAAAATAACAATTTAGATCCAAAGGTGTCACTCACTATTGCCACTAGTCATCTAGGATTATTACGTGTAAATTATGTACACAGCTTTATGTGTAAACTATAAATTAGATTTATTTTAAAAATTAATATTTTTCATTAAAAAAAACTATAAATTACACAAATATACCATTTTATACTTACTATTTAGTTTAATTAAATGAAATGCAGGAGAAATACATCATAGTACACAATCATTCACTCTAATTAAGGTTTCATTTGGGATGGCTTTTCTAGTGCTTCTTAAAGTTACTTTTTAGTACCAAAATTTTACTAAAAAGTAGCTTTAAGAATCAATAAGAAAGTTGTCCCAAACGAAACCTAAATAGAATACACTAAAAGCACATAGCTATATATTCTAATAATTCACTCATAATTTATAGTTAATAAGTTAATCTACTGTTGAACATTCAAAAAGTTGCATGCACTTTTAAAAGATTAGACCACCACTTAATAATTGTGGAGGTTTGAAGAAACTTCCACTGTTTAGAAACATTATGGATGCGAATAAATTGAAAATCCTATGCAACAAAAAAAAAAGCATAAAAATGGGCATTACTACCCTATTGATTTCTAGATTTAATTAATTAAGACCGATATTAAAGCAAAAGAAGGAAATTTTTAAAATTCAAAGGTTCAATTAAAACATTTTATTGAATCTTCATGATATAACAAATATAAAAATATATAATATGATAACATATGATATTAAAAAATATTGTTATAAAAATTAAATAATTTATTAAAATTTTCAACAGCATTTGTGTGTTCATAGATATTTTTTTGAACGTTTGATTGTCATATTTTTCTATCATTTTTTTTAGAATATCATTGAATTCTTAGTAAACTAGTAAATAAGCAAAGGCTCTAAAAATATTTGTATTCCATACATCATAAAAGAACAGGAGAAATTTTGAATCAATTAAAAAAAAAGTATTTCCATTTGAATTTAATTTTGAGCCGTACTATGACCATTTCAACATTTAATCCGTTCTGGTGGTGCCATCCATATTTGTTAAATAACTGTTAGAAAAATACACATAATCTGCACAAATTTCAGACAAATCACTTCATCATTATAAAATATCGTCCCATTATAAGCTATATAAAATATTTTATATATTATTTTATTGTCAGCCTTAGGCTTCATTTGATACGGCTTTCTTACTGCTTCTTAAAACAATTTTTTAGAAATTACTTTAAGAAACAGTAAGAAAACTATCCCAAACGAAACCTTAACCCTCGTATATAAGCAGGAGTTGCAAATCGTGCACTGGTATGCCAAATTTATGATATAATCATGTATTTAGGTCAAAGATCTGCCTCTCTGAAAAAAATAAAAAAATGTAACCATTCTAGAAGTATATCATATTTCCTCTATTTCCCTCTTCATTTTGGGCTAGATTTGCAGGACCACGGTGCTTTCCATGGATAAAATCACGTGCCCCCAGTAGCCCTACCCTACTCTAACCTACCCATTTATTACCTGCCAGCTTAGGGCTCAAGCGGCCCCAGCATTCATGGAAAGAATTGGAAACTTTGTCAAGTTTCTCCAAGTAGAGATTCTGATAGGATGAGCAAGTAATTCATTATTTCTATAGATTAAACTCAAAGTACTGTCACTCTGTCTGAATTCACAGTTTGATTGCAAACAGTTTCTCTGTTGGATTCTCGCAGATAAATGAACTGTACTTATCCTTTCACAAAATTACAAACCTGTCTTTTTGACTTATTCGGGGTGGTTCAAATCAAACTGGAAAAAACAAAATTTAGTGAATATTCTACATATCGAGAAGGAATAATGAAACTGAGAAAGATTCAATGCAAAAGCAGATGGCAAATCAAATTGAGTTTCTCAAGTGGAATGAGAGAAGAGGTAGAAAAAGAAAGAAAAGCAAGAGATCCCTTTGTCATGTATAAACAGAAGCAGTGTAAAGTTTTGAGCTCATCTCTTTTAAATAGCAGAAAGCGTGATTATAAATATATAACATAATTGAATACGTTAATCGAGAGAGAAATTTGGTTGGATGGGTTTTTATTATCGATCTTGGTTGAGAATACCTTGACAGAAGCTACCAGGTCACAAACCGCCCTCGGATAATGGCTTCTGCTTTCCTCACCTCCTTCAACGGTCCAATAATGAAGACCTATGGGAATCACAAAATATGATAAATTGAAAATTCAGCAAAAGGAAGTGCTGTGATAAACTGTTAATAGGTAATACTGAACTCACTTTACAAGTGATACAAGGGAAGCTGTAGATACAAATAAAGTTGAAACCCAACGGTAAATAGGATTTTAGCACTATTTGGACAATTTATAAAGGTTTGTTATGAGCTTTTTAGATATTTGTATTAGTATCGAGCAAAATTATTTTCTTCAAGATGAGTTTCTTGTCACCATAAAAGCTCAGACTTACCTTGTCGGGAGGACCCTTGGATCCACCAATTAAAATTTCTGCGCTGAAAATATACAAGAGTAGTTGAGTAAAATATCTTGAGGATTAGCAGTTACGCGTTTTGTAAGTATAGAAACAACTCACTTGCAGGATTCTTTTATTGATAGAATAGTTGCACCCTTTTTACCAATAACCAGTCCCATTTTTCCGGGAGGAACATCCAACACTGAAAGAATTTCTTCCTCAGGAGCATAGCCTTCAGTAACTAGGCTATCTGAAAAATCATTAAACAATCAATAGAAATATGTTGAGCCACGTGTTAAACAACGAAATCCTCCCAAAAGGGGAAGGACTCAAAAATATATTGATAATTCGAAAATTTAAATCATGCTAAAACCTGGTTTCTATACTTCAGATACGAAAATACAATGATGCAGGAAGATATGCGGCAAAGGATCAATCAACTTTAACATGGCAAATTAAATATGAAATCTCAGCCCAAGAAAATAATACCAGGAATAGGAGAAGGTTTCCAATCAGCATAGTTATTGTCATTAATGCAGAAACATCTGCAGTATAGACAACCACGAACAGCAAGATGCCACAAGGAATTTCTGTTCAACTTATCCATCATTTTGTGATAAATATGCAGGAGAAAGCGAACATCATCGGAAGCTGTGCGGATCATCAGGTCCGACATTGGTCTGTATGTCCAGAAATTAGGATCCTGAAATAGAAAGGATATGGACAATTACTAGACAAAAACTCATCCGGATGCTCGTACACAACACAACGTTGCATGCTTTTGTGAGCGGAAACTTTATGGCTTCACTTCTATGAAAAAACACTAAAACCTATCATCCAAATAAGGAAGTCCGTCAATACGATAACTACTATAAAAATTTCCAGGAAAGGGTGAAGTCAAACGCTGCAAAACTGTGGTTTTCGCTTTAGCAGCACAAATTATGCTTCAGCACATCTATTCCCTTGCAAGATGGAAGTACACCATACAAACAATTACCAACGGTACTTGAGTGGCGACTCATGTAAAACTTGATTTAAAAAAAAATTAATATCAAACTGACTGCATCGGTTCAATAGAACCGATGAGCCGGTTCCAATTATTTCAAGGAGACGGTGAAAGGAGTGCAAATACGAGCAAAGAGAACCGAGAACGAGCTGATGAGAAGCGAGAAAGATAGAGGGAAAGTAAGAGTGAGAGCGAGAATGATGGAGAGACAGGGTGATCAAGGCTTTCGAGTGCATGCAAGAGCATAAAGTTGATCGCATATGACAGAGGGAGAAAAAAGCCATCCGAAGAGAGACCAAGTGCGGTTTCTCGAGTTAACTTGACTTGAGATAAGGTAAACCAATCACAAAATTTGTATTTGATCAAATGGATAAACATTAAGTTTAAAAATGTTAAAAGGAATCTTGTTAGGAGTATGGATGGATTAATGAAATGTAGTTTTGTGTGAGATCGAGCTAAGCAGGATTTTGATTACGACTTATACTTTGATTTCCAAAAGAAGATTTAAGGTATTGAGAATATATTCATTTTGTTTTTCTTCAAATATAAAATAAGTTTAGAATTTTTATTGTTTTGTAATTAATAAGTCCCCCTCAAACTTAAGGGAAAATTCTATAAGGGGGTGAGACCTACAAAGCTCTATGGTGCAGAATGTTGATCTTCAAAAGAGAAGCATAGTACTAAGTTAAGTGATGTGAAGATAAGGATGCCTCAACATACAATCAGGGGCAACCTAGAAGCACCTTGAATAAGATATATGCATCAATCACATGATACTTAGCCTCTATATAAAGTTCTCCAAACACAAGAGGAAATATGAATGCCACCATGGTCTTCTACCCCTTCTTATTGAAGCAATGTACCATTAGCTTATCCTGTCCAAGGTGATGTACGTTGAGGCACAACGATCTCAAAGCTTTCAAGCTTATGAGATTTATCGAAGATTCAGGATCGATCAAGATCTGACTGATCATGATGTTGTCACTCTTTGCAGTAACGTACAGAGGGAGCTTGTGATCTATCGTCCCAAGTATCATGTCATTTTCAATGAAGGTGATGATCGTCTTGTTCCGGGTTTGTAGGACCTTAGTCATACAATGCTCAACAAAATACGCTTCGAACCTTTCAGGATTCCTGAAGGTCTTCAGACATTATAAGAGCGTCATATATGCTGAGTTGTGCCAAAAATTTTCTCAGATGAGATAAGATATTATAGTCTATCCATTTAGTTAAAGCATGCACCTTTCTTTTTAGGGTCTTTAGGAATTATATCTCTGCTAATAACTATCTCTTTTCCCTTATCTTTATTAGAGACCTCCTTCTTCAATATAGATCGCAACACCTTGCCACTTCTTAGATATACTTTGGTTACTTCATCTGACTCAGGTTCACCTAATGAAGTGTCTCATACAGAACTAGCTTTAGTTGCCTCCGAAGATTCATTTGTTGATTCAGAATCTCCACCCGGCTTCACAAGCTTCATTTGCAATGCTATGTCGGGCGCTGATTCATCCTCATTCAAAAAATAAAAATCTTCTTCTAAGCAATAATGCATTAGCAACACCATGAGATAAGACTCAGAAGCAACTTCAGCATATTTTCTTTTTGTCAGAGCCGCTGGTATCACCGAAATGACCCGGCAAGTTTCTACAGGAAGTGGATCTTTGTCATCTTCTTCTACATTGTCAATTTAAGCTCTGACATAAAGTCAACGAGCTTAATAGGATGTCTTACGCCTTAGTAGTATTCATCAAAACTTTCAATAACCTTTTGGGTTGTTGTGTTCTTTTCCTTTGTCTTCTTCAATTTCTCTTTTTCTTAGTGGATTTTGCCTTACCAGACTTTGACGAGCTAGCTCGTCAGGGTGTTGTTTAGAAGTAGATGTAGCTATAACAAGTAGACCCTTTAAATCCAGCACCAACTCAGTAGGAGTTTTCCACTTAATGCCAGGAACTCCAAGCTGTTTTGACATCTTCACCATCTTCTTGGAGACCGCAGTCTCTTATTGCTCTTTTTGAGCTAGTTCCTTTTTCTTTTATTTTTCTATTCGAGGGTACAGAAGAAGATGTAACCATCCGAGTTGATTCTCTTCCATGGTGAATTAGCATATTATTTGATAATGTGAATTCTTCTCTTCGGTACTTAATTTCCAGCCACTCCTTGAAGATATAGCAATATTCAATAGGATTACTGATTACCTGATGGTATGGGCATAATTCTGGTCACTGGTGTTTCGACTCTTTGGACCTCCTACACTCTGGCAGTTCTAGGCACGCTTTGAGCGCTTGTCGAAATAACTTGGTGATGCTTTTCCACTTGAATGAATATTCTCTATTTATCTTTTATTTGAGAGAAGGGAACATTTGATCACAAGTTCTCATTGTTTGACTTGGGCATTCTCCTCAACCAGCAAAGGTCTGAGGCTTGTTATTTCTCCCAAGCACCAGTTTTGGCTGAGGGTTGGGATTGTAGGCGTGTTTTGGCTTATCCTCATACTGCATCGACTGCTTACCTTTATCTACGTTGTAAGCACGTGTTTTCCCTTATTTAGTCTGAAAGAGGATATAGAGTAGGATTCACTGTTTCTGGCATTAGGGGCTTTAGCCTTTTTTGGAATTATCAGACTGACTTTCTCATTTGGATAAGTTCGGCTTCTGAAATTTGATCACTCTGCCTAATAGATTTTGGAAGGTGGTGATGACGATCATGCATAAGAATGGCTGCATCTTATCATCTATGTTCCCTATCAACAATTGAACGGCATACTCCTCTTACAGCTGCTGCTCACATTTCATACTCAAATTATGTTAAGAGGTTATGTACTTTGTCACTGACTAATCACTTTTTTCTCTTATCTAAAGCAATGTAAGCAATGGTTATCTTTTCGGTCGCGCTAGCGAACCTCTTCACGAATACAATTTCTAACTCTCAAATATTTTCGTAGAGACATTTGGTAATTCAACATAACATTTGAATGCAGTGTTGTTAAACTTCTGACGAATTGTCGGAAGAGTAGGGCGTTGTTGCCTCCCTTACTCCCGTAGGTGGCCTAGAATTACTCCAAATGCTTCTTAGGATTGTTGTTGCCATTGAAGGTATTAAACTTTGGAATGGAATATCCCTTTGGATATGGCACTTGGTCTTATTCTACTGGATACAGGTGACCCTTACCTACCAGCCTCTCTGCTTGATAGATGGCTATAAGAACCTTGATCTTCTTGCAGATTATATCATCTAACTGTGTAGCCATCACAAGTTTGGAGGTGCTTTCTATATTTGGTGGAGTAGGCTGGCGAACAACATTATTAACCTCATTGCAACCTTAAGGGGTACCTCACTGTAATAACAAGTGTTGAGATTCGTTCACTATCAAGCAGAGAGGCTGGTAGGTAAGTTTACTTTAGGAAATGGATTCCTAAGTCTTCTAACATTCATCTGTCTTTTCAGGGAATGCATAAATTTAGGATACATAATAGGATTAGTAAAATCATCAAGTTTAGGTGGTATCCTATTATCCTCGAGAGCTTTTATAGTTAATTTGTAAAATGAATTCATATCCTCCAAAATTCGATTTACATAATTGGTTCTATAAAGTTTGCTCTCAAATTCATCCTTAGAATTCTTATAATCTTTCTCGAGTTCTGCATAGGATGATTTTAAATTCTCATGATTTTTATTCAAGTCATCAAACTCATCAAGTAATTTCATGTGGTTGTTATCAATCAAAGCATGATTTTTTCTAAGAATTTCATATTCCTTTTGAAGTTCTTCAAATTCTAGACTTAGACTAGCAAGCATTTTCTTCATTTTTCTATATGCATCATGCATGTGTTCAGAAACTTCAAATAATTCATTATAAGTTAAGTCACATACCTCTTCTTGATCTAACTGATCAAGACTGTCAGCCATTAAGCACAAATTAGTGACTTCCTCTTCTTTTTCAGTCTCTGATGAATCTGAAGCTGAGTCTGCCCAGAAAGCTTTTTGAAACTTATTTCTGCCCTTCTTTACAGTAGGTTTCTCCTCTACCTTCTCCTTGCTAGGATTGGCTTTGAGTTTAGGGCAATCCGTCTTTATATGTTCAGGTTTCCTGCACTCATAGCAAATTACATCATTTGAAGCCTTGATATTTCTATTGAATTTACCTCTATTCCATTGCACTATGAATTAGGTTGTTAAACCTAAGCTTATATCCCAAGGCTATCCAAGAGGGGAGGGTGAATTAGTATATATATATTTTAAAAAAAAAAAATTATCCCTCCTAAGTATGTTGAACCGAAAATAAACTTTAATGAATTTTTAGAAAAAGTTTTTCAACCACAATATTTTTTTTAACAAAAATAAAATGCAGAAAATAAAAAGCAGTACAAAAAAAGACACAAGATTTATAGAGGTTCGGTTTAAACCAGACCTACATCCACTCCCCGGAGGCACCCTCCGAGTATTGCACTAATACCAATAGTGTCTCTCCTTTTGCACCCACAGCAAGGCTGAGAAGCCTTTACAAACACTCTTTCCACCACTACCCGGTGCGGCAGAGAACCGTCGTCCTTTTGCACTATCCACAGTGTTGGCAGAGAACATTTCGTCCTTTCACACTCTCCTAGTGTGGGCAGAGAACCCGCAGCTGTTTACACTCTCCAAGTGTCGGCAGAGAACCGGATCTCCTTGACAAATCTTCTCATAAGAATTCTAGA